ACTTGATCTTGCACCTTGGATACAAGCTCAGCCAATGTAGGATAGGGCACCAGGCAGAGTCATAAGGCCTCCATTCCAGGCCCTAGTTCCTTGACAACATTTCTAGACATGCCCTGGGCTGGAAGGGAACTCACTGCCTTGAAAGGTATGAGTTAGTCCTGACAGAATTTATCGCCTGCTGACTAAAGAGTCCTTGGGCCCTGAATAACCAACAGTAATACCCAAGTAGTGTGCCATGGGCTTTGGGTGAGACTCTGAGACGTGCTGGTTTCAGGTGTGACTTACTACCTTCCCAGCTATGGTGGCTATGGCAAAAGATTCCTTCTGCTTGAGAAAAGTAAAGGGGATGTTTTTCTTGCTGGTACCTTAGGTACCAGTTCAGCCACAAGGTTATGGAGCACCAAGTGGGTTCTTGGGTCCCCGAGTCCAGGTTTAGTCTCCTAGACAGCATTTCTGGACCTGCCATGGGCCAGAAGGGAGCCCATTGCCTTGAAGGGTGAGTCCCAAGCCTGGCAGCACTCACCACAAGCTAACTGAGGTGCCCCTGGGCTTTAAGTGAACATATGCGGTAGCCAGGCAGAACTCCCCCTGAGCCAGTAGTGGTGGTGGCCACCAGGAGGGGCTCCTCTGCCTGTGGAAAGGTGAGGGAACAGTGAGAAGGACTTTGTCTTGTGGTTTAAGGGCCAGCTTAGATGCAGTAGAATAGAATGCCAGGTAGATTTCTAAGGTTGTTGGCTCAAATCCTGGCTCCCAATTGTGCCTCTGGACCCACCCAAGGCCTGGGGGAACTCACTGCCTTTAAGGGAAGAACACAAGCCTAGTTGGCTTCTTCACCTGCTGATGGCAGAGCCCTAGGACATTGAGATAGAACATAGATGGTAACCAGGTAGTGGTTACAGCGGACCTTGGGCAAGACCCAGTGCTGTGACGGCTTCAGGCCTAACTCAGCACAATCCCATTGGTGGTGGCCACAGGGAAGCTTGTGTTACCACACCCCCAGCTCCAGGCAGCTCAGCACAGAAAGAAAGATTGTGTTTGTTTTGGAGAAAGTAAGGAAGAGAACAAGAGTCTCTGCCTGGTACTACAGAGAATTCTTCTGGGTCTTATCCAAGATCACTATTTGGAAATATACAGTCAGAGGAGACAAAAGAAAAAAGAACAAAAAAGAATAAAGCACACCTAGAAGATCAAGGGAATGCCCTCAAAGGGACAAATCTAAGAGTTGTTGGCCTTAAAAAGCAGGTAGAGAAATAGATAGGGTAGAAGATTTATTCAAAGGGATAATATCAGAGAACTTCCCAAGCCTAGAGAAAGATATCAACATTCAAGAACAAGAAGGGAACAGAATATCAAGCAAATTTAACCCAAAGAAGACTACCTCAAGGCATTTAATAATCAAACTCCCAAAAGTCAAGGATAAAAAAGGATACTAAAAGAGCAACAGGAAAGAAACACATAACATGCAACAGAGTTCCAATATGTCTGGCAGCAGACTTTTCAGTGGAAACCTTATAAGCCAGGAGAGAGTGCCATGACATGTTTAAAGTGCTGAAGAAACAAGACCCAGTGATCTCTTGCCTATAAGAAACACACTTCACCTATAAAGATACACACAGGCTGAAAATAAAGGGATGGAAAAAGATATTCCATGCCAATGGAAACCAAAAAAGAGCAGGACTAGCTATACTTATATCACACAAAATAGATTTCAAGACAAAAATTGTAAGAAGAGATGAAGAAGGTCATTATATAATGATAAAGGGATCAATTCAGAAAGAGGGTATAACAATTTTAAATATATATGCAGCCAACACTGGAGCACCCAGATATACAAATCAAATATCATTAGAGCTAAATAAAGAGACCACAATACAATAATAGCTAGAGACTTCAACACCCCACTTTCAGCATGGGACTGATCTTCCAGACAGAAAGTCAGCAAAGAAACATCAGACTTAATCTGCAGTATGAAACAAATGGGCCTAATAGATACTTACAGAACATTTCATCTAACAGCTGCAGAATACACATTCTTCTCCTCAGCACATGGATTATTCTCGAGTATAAACCGTATGTTGGGTCACAAAACAAGTCTTAAGGCATTCAAAAAATTGAACAACTTAAAAAATAAATTTAAAAAGTAATCCCACTTACAATAGTCACAAGTAAAATTAAATACCTAGGAATTAATCAAAGAAGTGAAAGATCTCTACAATGAAAACTATAAAACACTGATGAAAGAAATTGCAGAGGACACAAAAAAAGGAAATATATTCCATGTTCATGGATTGGAAGAATCAGTATTGTTAAAATGTTCATACTGCCCAAAGCAATAAAAGATTTAAGGCAACCCCTATCAAAATACTAACAGCATTCTTCACAGAAATAGAAAAAACAATCCTAAAATTTATATGGAACCACAAAAGACCCAGAATAACCAAAGCTATGCTGAACAAAAAGAATAAACCAGAGGAATCACATTACCGACCTTCAAATTATGCTGCAGAAGTATGGTAACCAAAACAGCATGGTGCTGGAATAACAACAGCTCAGTGGAACAGAATGGAGAACCCAGAAACAAATCCATACACCTACAGTGAACTCATTTTTGACAAAAGTGCCAAGAACATGCATTGGAGAAAAGAGTGTCTCTTCAATAAATAGTGCTGAGAAAATTGGATATCCAAATGCAGAAGAATGAAACTAGACCTCTGTCTCTCACCATATATAAAAATCAAGTCAAAATGGACTAAAGACTCAAATATAAGACCTCGAACTATGAAATTACTAAGCAAAAACATTGGAGAAACTCTCCAGAACATTGGAGTGGGCAAAAAAATTCTTGAGTAACACTCCAGAAGCACAGGCAGCCAAAGCAAAACTGGATAAATGGGATCACATCCAGTTAAAAACCTTCTGCACATCAAAAGAAACAATCAACAAAGTGAAGAGACAACCCACAGAACTGGAGAAAATATTTGCAAACTAGCCATCTGACAAGGGATTAATAACCAGAATATTAGGAGCTCTAACAACTCTATAGGAAAAAAATCTAATAATCCAATTTAAAATGAGCAAAATATCTGAATGGACCTTTCTCAAAAGAAGACATACAAACGGCAAACAGGTATATGAAAAGGTGCTCAATATCATGATCATCAAAGAAATGCAAATCAAAACTACAATGAGATATCACCTCACCCCAGTTAAAATGGCTTTTATCCAAAAGACAGGCAATAATGAATGCTGGCAAGGATGTGAAGAAAAGGGAACTCTCACACACTGTTGGTGGGAATGAAAATCACTACAACCACTATGGAGAACATTTTGGAGGTCCCTCAAAAAACTAAAAATAGAACTACCATACAATCCAGTAATCCCACTGCTAGGTATATATATCCAAAAGAAAGGAAATCAGTATATCACAGGGATATCTGCACTTCCATGTTTGTTGCAGTAGTGTTCACAAAAGTCAAGATTTGGAAGCAACCTAAGTGTCCATCGGAAGATGAATGGATACAAAAAATGTGTTACGTAAACACAATGGAGTACTATTCATCCATAAAAAAGAATGAGATCCTGTCATTTGCAGCAACATGAATGGAACTGGAGGTCATTATGTTAAGTGAAATAAGCCAGGCACAGAAAGAAAGACTTTGCATGCTCTAATTTAATTGTGAGAGCTAAAAATTAAAACAATTGAACTCATGAACATAGAAAGTAGGAAGATGGTTACCAGAGGCTGGAGAGGGTAGTCGGGGAGTGGGGAGGAAGCAGGGGTGGTTAATGGGTACAAAATGTAGTTAGAAAGAATGAATAAGACCTAGTATTTGATAGTACAATGGGATGACTATAGTCAATAATAATTTAATTATACATTTTTAAATAACTAAAAGAATATAATTGGATTGTTTGTGACACAAAAGATAAATGCTTGAGGGGGATGGATACCCCATTTACTATGATGTATCAAAATATCTCTGGTACCCCAGAAATATATATACCTGCTGTGTACCCACAAAAATTAAAAATTAGAAAAAGAAAGTTCATAGCAGCACTGTTCATTAAAACCCCAAAGCATTCATTAACAGGAGACTGGATAGGTAATGTGTGGTAGAATCATAGGAAAATACTACACAATAATGAGAAAAAACAAACTATAGTTACATACAATATAGATAATCTTGCAAATACATTGGACAAAAGAAGCCAGATACTACATAATTCCACTTATATAAAGTTCAAAAACAGGAAAATCCCATCTCTGATGGTAGAAGTCAGAGTACTGGTCATCCTTGGGGAAGGTAATGACTCTAAGGAGGCATGAGTGGGGGCTTCGGAGTTCTGGTTCTGTTTTTTGATGTGGATGCTGGTTACGTGAATGTTTCCACTGTGGAAATTCATGTATGATTTGTGCATATCTGATGTTTATTATACTTCAAGTAAAAATTTATTTTAAGAGTGAGAGAAAGAAGAGAGATAAAGAGAAGGGAGTAAAAATAGATAAAAATAATAAAAAGGATGGAAGATACGACGTATCAATAAGCATAGTTTTCAAAATATATTTCAAAGGATATACAGTATGAATAGGTAGTAAAATCTAAGTAAAATCTTTTTTGCAGTGTTTCTCATGTTTAATGTTTATGTCTATTCATATAGCCATTGTTTTAATAACATTCTACCATATATTTTCCAGTTAAAAGTAATGTAGTTGTCTGTCTGTATCCATGGAAGATTGGTTCGGGACCCCCTCAGATACCAAAATCTGCAGATGCTCAAGTCTCTTATATAAAATGGCATAGTATTTGCCTATAACCTATCTACATCCTCCTGTATATTTTAAATTATCTCTAGATTACTTACAATATCTAATACAATGTGAATGCTCCATAAATAGTTGTTATACTCTATTATCTAAGGACTAATGACAAGAAAAAAAGTCTGTACATGTTCAGTACGGATACAGCCATTCATTTTTTCCAAATATTTTCAATCTGCAGTTGACTGAATCCATGACTGCAGAACCCACATATGTGGAGGACCAAGTGTACATGTTTATTTTATTAAATTTCAAAAACAAAAAATAAAACAGGGAAGAAACCAGAATTCCATCACTGAGATCTAATCATCCTTAACATTTTGGTGTGTATCCTACCAGTCTTTCTGTCTTATGATTTGTGAAGTTTTTAAAAGGATGGGGTGGGAAGGGAAGCAGGGAATAATCAGCATGTGGTTGAGGATAATGGCTTCTTTGGTGCCAACATGTCACATGTATACGTATGTAATAAACCTGCACATTGTGCACATGTACCCTAGAACTTAAAGTATAATAATTTTTAAAAAAAAGAGTCACAAGAACAGGATGTAATACAGGAACCCACTGGTAGGTTACTATGGATGTTTTTTGTTGTAGGTGGTAGATTAATTATTAAAAATAACTTAGGAAATAAAAGCGGGCCAGGTCTGGACCAAGAATGAGGATGTGTCACCAACCAGGGATTATGATCAATCCAATTTTGTGTGCCTGTGGTCCAATTAAAACTAAAAGAATTCTCATAATAAATAGATTCTGTGCTGTAATTGAAAGTAAGTTTAGTCCTCTGAAGTCCTAAACTGACATTTTAAAGACAAACTGTGCACTGACAAATCAAGGGGGAAAAATTACTTCCCTTTTCAGTAAGAAGAAGCTTGCCCTTTGATTACTAAACCTCACATAGTTTTACAATGAGTTGTGAATTCCAGCTCCTGTTCATGATAAAATTGGCCATAATGATTCAAACATTCATGCGTCAGAAGGTTTCAGTGTAAACCAGATAAACTTCCCAGGTCCCTTCTACCTCTAAAATTCTGTATTTTAGATTAATGACCTGGTGTGTCTACCCACTCAATTAATAAAGCAAGAATGACTTTTCCAGACCCTTTCCTGTTAATTACACAGAGAGTTTCAACTGGGGACAGTTCTTATTGCTCACAGCAAAAATTCAGATTTATTGGTTTGTTTTTGTGTTTATATCCCTGTTGCTCTTAATAGAAATGAAAGGTTTAATGTGGTGAGTAAATCATGGTAAAATATGTGCAAGAATATAAAATAATGCACACATAATGTTAGAACACTAAAATGCATGCTTTTGGTTTCTATTTTAGCTGCAGCGGAGGCACAGATTTGGCTTACAGCTTCCTAACACTCAAGACAAAGAGGAAAACAGGAGAAGAGAGAAGATTTGTAATGCCTATAAAATAATTTTGGTCAGGTTTTCCAAAGAAAACGAGAATTTCTGTGTGCTTAGAAAGATGTCCCCATGATGTGTTAGAACAGCTTCTATCAGCTCTTGAGAGTCAATGGTTAAATATCCAGAATTTTTACAAATATGTTGTTAAACCATTGATAGCTTGAAATTGACCATAGTGGGAATATTTAGCAAACACTGCAAGTCAGGACTTGTTTTTCTTTTAGAAGCCAGTTTGCCAGCACACCACCACATGTCCCCGGTGGTCCTCAGACAGAGACACTGTATGAGGTCAGGAGAGTTGCAAGTGGTTGGGGAAAGGCTCAGTGTACAACTTTCTATGTACGATAGAAACCCATCCCTCCGGAGTAGAAGAGAACAGAAACGTATGCCCGAGACCAGAGAATGATTTAAAAGTTACATCAGCAGTCACCCACCCCACCTGAGTCCTTCTTTCCAATAATACCCTTTGGAATTTCATACCTGGGATTACAAAAATTGCTATGCCCATTGAGGGGCAGACATATCTCCCCATTCAAAGATACACCTAAACAAATGGGAGAATCTCAGGTTACAAACTTTATGCTTTCCACTCAGTCAGCACTTCCAAGCCCGTGTTTCACAGCATCATGAAAAGTGTCCTTCAGAGAAGAAAAGAAATGTCCCATACCAAAATAAGCAATAATCTTTATTGTGGGACTTCTCAGAGCCTTTAAGGAAGCATATGTGCCCCTGTGGCAGAGTGTACATTAGTTCCCAAACTTGTTTTACCCCAGAACACTTCCTAGTGACACATCTTGGGACATCAGACTGGGTAGTCAGGGTTCCTTATGATTTGGAGAGGCAATCCCAGGACGTTATTCCACAGAAATGTTTCTTTTATGTAGGACTTGAGGCTCTGGCATTTTTGTTTATAAAAACATGAGTTGCATATCTTCGCTTTTCAAATGAACCACTTCATTAACTCTGTTGGTGTTCATACATCCATCAGCAGAGCTGACTGAAGGCATGAAGGAAACAATTCAGGACCAGAAGTTTCTTAATTTCCTGTGGGCTGTGTCCTCAGCAACTCACTCAGTCCTATGATGGACACAGAGTTTGTTATGTTGCACGCAGTACACACAAGTATACATCCACTCAACCATTATCATGGAGCCCCTTCATGTTCCAGGCCATGGATGGGACAGACCTGGCCCTGTCTTCAAGGAGCTCAGGATGCAGCATTAATGAATGTCAGCTTCCTCTATTTACAGCCTTTCTTTGCTTTGTCTAGGCTTCTGCCTCCCCACTTTGCTCTGTGCCCTGTTCTGCTCCTCACCACTCTTGTTCATCCTTTTCCCTCCCTTCCCTGATAGCTTTTTCCAATGACTCACAAGAACCCAGCTCAGCTGCTGTTCATTATGCTCCTGTCTTTGCATTTTTCCAACTCAATTAAGCCATTACCAGAACTAAATGAGGCATGGACTCCCCAAAAGTCACACCTGTTGTCAGGGAGATGGAGGGCAAGACTGTGTACAGCTGGCAGGCAGACAGCAGAAGCCGGGCTTGGGCTTGCGGGAGGCAGCCAAGGGTGACTGGGCAATTTGTGTTTCCCCCAGCACCAAAAGAGGGCCCTCATTTTAAAACAAGATGTGCCTTGCTTTGGTACAGAAGGAATGAAGTCTGATATAGAACTAGGGATGGCCGTATTAGTGATGGCAGGTAAGATGTCCCTAATTCTTTGGCAAATGTGCACCAGCTATGTATAGAAACCCATCTTGTGGCTGTCTCTTCGGCAAGAGGTAAAGGAAGCTGCAACCACAGCCAGGCACATGAGTTTGGTGATTATTGATTAAACTTTTTCAGGTTTATTTTTCCTGTTCACCCTCATTAAAACATATACATTTCACCTTTCTACAATAGTGACTTCAAACCTTACTGTTAGTATCTTTATGATCATTGTGATGAAAGATGGCAAAGATTACAGTACAATAAACCAGAGACAGCAGTGTACTCACCTTATGAAGATAAATTCTTCTGGAAATCAAATTTGGTCTTATAACTGTCTTTTTCCTAGGCAACCTAGAATTTTTTTCCTGCAATCTAGGAATTCAGAAGTAGTAGCCTTTGAGCTTACTGTGCCTTTAATTTACTGAGTGATTTTATGTTCAGAAGGTCTGCACCTGCATTTTCTCTATTTGAAATGTGAGCAAAATCATTCTGCTCTAGAGATTCACAATTTCCAGAAATGTTGAGGCCAAGAGGTGAGAGTAGGGGTGGTTTTTATTTGGAAGAAAATTGAAACGTGGTAGTGTTCACTCCTAACGTTGTTTTGCTATCCTCTGTTAACTTGTCTTGACTGCGGAACTTGGATTAGCCACATACCTACTCTTGGAACAGCAAGTTCAACAGACATTTTTAGAGCATCCATTTAGTACCAGGTTCTTTGTTTGATGCTGAGGATGCAGCTGTGATCATGGAGAAGCCTCTGCCTACAGGAACCGTCAGTCTTGTGGGGTGACCCCTTCCCTGTCCTGTCCAGGAATTGCCCAACCAGCCTCTCTTCTTTACTGGGCACACTTCATACATTTATTCAACAAATATTTGTGAATCATTTGTGCCAGGTGCTGTGCTGGGTGCTAGGCAGCAATGGTGAAGAAAAGAGACAGGCCTTGGCCTCATGAAGTTTCTGATCCCTGTCTTGACTTAATTCTCTTTCCCAGCAATCACCAGACAAAGAATATCACTCTTTGCTCTGTGCTCCCTCAATACTTAATCCATGCCTCTTTATAGCATTTAGATCACCGTCCTTATAATACACCTTTCTGTCTCTTTTTAAACCATGAGCACCTTGAAGGCAAAAATTTCAACTTTCTTTCCCTAGTGTCTTGCACTCCCTAGTATCTAGCACATAGAGAGCTCAATAAATGGTTTTTGAATGAGTAAATCATTGCATGAATTTGTAACTTCATGAACCCATGGAACACATTGACCAGTCTGCCCTCATCTTCCATCTCCGATCCTTGGCTGAAGAGCCTAGTAAGCCATTATCTGTCCATACTGAAACACTCCTCCTGATGTCAAGAACCTTTTAAACATAAAACCACCTGGTGCACGGGTCATTTCTTCTTCCAAGATGTATCTGCCATTGAGAGAAAGAACAAATATTAGCTTCAGCTTTGCAATACTCATTTGCAGGAAAGCAAGCATGATTATATATGATTTAAATGGAATAAATGTATAGTAAGGAGAACAAATGAGTTTATTTGTGATTCTTTGCTAGATACTGTTGGAGATAACTACAGTAAGAAAAAATATATATATAATAACAGTGGTTTAAACCAGTCAGAAGCCTTTTTTCTCTGTCAGGCAAAAGTCCAGGAATAGTTCAATACTAAGTTTCTGCGCTATGAAATGCTTAGTTCGTGGCACCATCATTCCCTAGGTGGTAGCTCCTTGTTCAAGATGGTCTCCAGCTGTCATATCCACCTCCGTGCAGCAGAACAGAGGAAGTGGGGAGAAGGGATGAGGGGCAACCAGGAGTCAAGTACAAAGAAGATAAAGCTTTTACAACATGGAAGGTGGAAGGTGGTGGGAGCCTGAACAAAGGCACTGGCCACAGGAGTGTGTAGGAGAAGGCAGAGAGGGAAGCAATGGCGGAATCACAGGACCAGGAGACTGGATGTTGGAGGAGAGGGAGATGGTGGATCTAGAATGACCCTTAGCTTTGAAAGCAAATTCAACCCTGGCAACTGGACTCAAAAGGGTGGTTTGAAGAATACATTAGACTGAGAGAGTTAACTGCTGCAAATTGACCCCAAATCTCTCCTTCCTTTATTCCTTCTTGCCATGAATTTTCTGTTGAATGAACTAATTAAGTTAATAAACTTCTCCAAGTAGTTAATATTTCACAGGAAAAATTTAACAGGTCTCAGTGACTAACCCTAGCCAGTTATAATGTTCCCTCTCCTACCTAATTCAGTCCACGGGACTCCTTAAAATTCTGAGTTCTTAAGGCATTCTTAAGTCAAGTGCCAAAACTGCTCACTTGAGTAAGCTGAATATACAAAGAATCTATTTCCCCATCTAGAAGGTGGACTTGGTATTACCCTCATTACAAAATTGTTGTGAAGTTTAAAATACCTAGAATGTTTAAGGGACCTGGTACAATGCCTGGATCAATAAATGCTAGTTTCTCTTCCCAAAGTACTTTCTTTTTTAATGCTTTTATTTGACAAACATTTATTCAGCATTTCCTATTTTAGACACTATACTAAGTGCTGGAGGGCAAAGTTAAATTTAGAAAAAAAGTTACTTTTTTTCACTTCTGAGTGTTAAGGTAAATTCTGATCATTTAGACCAGCATGCCTAACCCCTGGACTGGGAGCTCCTAACAATGTAAACATGCATGTGTTTGTCACCTTTATATTCCCAGTACAGGTACTTATTAAATGTATAAGTGAACATATGTCCAGGGTCCAAGTAATGAAGCCAAAAATCTAAAAGCAGGACTAGGGTCAGAAAACTGGGGTGGTCATGGATGTTCAGACATTACAGGAGGAGATTCCATGAAAACTGAGTGTCTGCTGGGGTGGTCCTTCCACCTGAGGCCCAGCACACTCTGCTAGGAATGCTGTTGGAGGAGAAGGTGGAATTCCTAAGGACCAAGAGGCACCATATGACAACGATTAAGAGATTGGGCTCTGGAATCAGACGTTTATGAACATAACTATAATAAAGTGTGATGAACCTTCCAAGAGGGAAGCTCAAGATCCAAGATTTATATAAGAGACTATGTTCTTATAGGTGGACCTCCCTCACCTAAGGGTTCAGGGAAGGCCTCCTTCAAGAGCCTTGCAAATTGCTCACTGCACAACTGAGGGGTTAATGTGGGCTGAAATCCAACCTGTGTTCCACTAAAGCTGTGCACCTTGACTCAAAGCTGTGTGCGCCCAGAAGGAGCTCTTTTCCTCATTCACCTGAAGGCCTACAGTTCACCCAGACACACCCCACAATTATGGACATCTGAAAGCTGAAAGATAAGTAGATGTTTTCCAGGCCAAGTTTAGGCCAGAGGGACCAAGGAGGGGAACAGCAAGTGTGAGGTCTGAGCATTTTAAAAGCCTGATGTCCTTGAGGAACTGAAAGAAGTTCAGCAAGGTTGAAGTGTGACATTCAAAGAGAAAACTGACAAGAGTGGAAGGGTATTCATTAAAGCCAGTATTTTCTATGAGTTTACTAGTTACATTTTGCTAATGGCTGGCTCTCCATGCATTATTTTGTTTAGATCACAGACATTAAGTGACTTGCCCAAAGTCATATTAGAAAGTAGTGGAACTATGATTCAAAGCCAGGTTTAACTCCAGAGCCTGTGCTCCAAAGCACTTGTCCTGTGGCATCCAAAGATTTGCAAATTGCAAAAGAGCAAAACTGGAAATGGGAATGCCAGTTAAGAAAGAGTTGCAGAAATCTGGTTAAAAATGATAGTAGGGCTAGGCATGGTGGTTCACACCTGCAACCCTAGCATTTTGAGAGGCCAAGGTGGGAGGATCACTTGAGCCCAGGAGTTCAAGGCCAGCTGTGGGCAACAGAGTGAGACCCCATCTCTACAAAAGAAAAAATTAAAAATCAGCCAGGTGTGGGTAGCATGTGTTTGTAGTCCCAGCCACTTAAGAGGCAGAGGTGAGAGGACTGCTTGAGTCAGGGAGGTTGAGGTTGTAGTGAGCTGTGATGGCGCCACTGCATTCCAGCATGGGTGACAGAGCCAGATTCTGAAAGACAGAAGGGAAAGAAAGGAAGGAAGGAAGGAAGGGAGGGAGGGAGGGAGGGAGGGAGAGAGGAAGGGAGAGAGGGAGCAAGGAAGGAAGGGAGGGAGGGAGGGAGGGAGGGAGGGAGGGAGGGAGCAAGGAAGGGAGGGAGGCAGGGAGGGAAGGAGGGAAGGGAGGAGAGGAGAGGAGAGGGAAAAAGAAAAAGAAAAAAAAATGATGGTAGACTGAAAATAGTCTTGGAAATGGTGAGGAGTAAATGGATTCCAGAGAGGTTTAGGAAGTAGAATCTATAGGGCTTGGGGGTTGTTTAAATATGAAGGACAATTATGAGAACAGAAAGAAGAAAAGATGGCTCCTTATTTTGTGTCTCTGTGGATGGCGTGTAATCTTCTAAAATAGGAAACAGTGAAGGAGAAACAGGTTCGGTAGGGAGGTGAGTTTAGGACCTGTTAAATTCAAAGAATCTGTGGAACATTCATGTGGCAGTGTCCAGTTGGCAGTCCAGTGCTTGGCCCTGAACCTCAAGGCAGGCTGGATATTTAGCCCCATCAACCTGTAATTGGTAATTGACTCACAGGGTGAGTGAGATAGGGTGTTGGTTAAGCTGGTCTTGAACTCCTGACCTCAGGTTATCCACCTGCCTCAGCTTCCCAAAGTGCTGGGATTATAAGCATGAGCCATTGCACTCGGCTTCATCCTATATTTTCTATAAGAACTTACATGCTGAATAAAATATCACTAATGTTATTATAACAAAAGGGGCTGCTGCTACTAATAGGCCAAATTTATGCCTCATTCACACAGGAAAATGAATGGATTAAAATCCAGCATCAGCACCAGCGGAGGTCTTAGGTTATCAATGGCCTCTTTAAAATTTGACCTTTCATAACCTAACACAGTTCTTCCCCAATATGGGCAATTGAAGTTTCCTGTATTTTACGTAAGTGCTATAAAAATGTGACTCCAAGCCAGGCCTTTTCAATCTGCCACCCCCAGACCCCTCTAAATGGAAATTCTGAGCCACCTCGGTTGCAGTAGTCGTAACAAGATGGGATTTAGGTTTAGCTGAATCCATTTTGTCTTTCTTTTCTTTTAGAAGGCATCACAGGAGGCCTCTACATGATGTGGCTTCCAAAGACTCAAGGACCACCCACCTTACAAGTCTGCAATGAAGAAGGCAGAAATGGAGATTCAAACACCACTTCTTCTATTCTTTTATTAATCACTCTGTAGACATGTGTCCCCACTGCAGGGAGTGAACTGCTCCAAGGGAGAAAACTTCTGGGAGCCTCCAAACTCCTAGCTGTCTTGTCCCTCGCCCTGGAGAGAAGGCAGAACCATGGCATTTTATTGCTGCTTCTGGGTCCTCTTGGCACTCACCTGGCACACCTCTGCCTATGGGCCCGACCAGCGAGCCCAAAAGAAAGGGGACATTATACTTGGCGGGCTCTTTCCTATTCATTTTGGAGTAGCAGCTAAAGATCAAGATCTCAAATCAAGGCCGGAGTCTGTGGAATGCATCAGGTAAGAAGAGGGGCCTAATCTGCCAGTCTCTTCTCTTCTGAGTGGTTGGAGAAAAGCTGCACCAAACCCAAAATATTTTTTTCAAACTTTGTCCTATCTTTTCAAGGATAGTGATTGATTGGTAATCATGCTGAAGCTTATTGCCCCCACAACCTGCCTTTTGTTTTTCTTGAAGACTTCTTTTTAAATAAAATGTTAATTATGTTAAGTAGAAAATCCATGCATGGCCTGTTAAAGCACCTGGTGGTCATTTGGTGACCAAATTATCATCATTCACCTGACAGCAGTGTTGCTTAATGGAAGACTAAGTACCTAGAAGGAAATTTATTGCAGGTCTTGCAAACCTGAGTAGTAAAATCCCCCATTGACCTTACATGCTCCAGTGGATAATAATACCTGAGTGCTGGCTGCCTCACTCTTTTCCTTTCTTTCTTTCTTTTTCTTTCTTTTTTTTTTTTTTAGGCATTTAAATTGAAAGAAACCACAGTAGTCAGCATGACCCAGGCATCTTCAAACTGTAAAATGTAGTCCATAGCATTTTGGAACTACGGCCATTAGAAAGTCTTTTGCATAGGAAGGTTGCCACCCTCCCCACCCCTCATCCCACCGCACCAAGACAGAATGCATCTAACTCTCTCAATGGATTCTCTCTGCAGCTGCTTGAAGAGAGCTAATGTCTCATCAAATATTTTCTTCTCCAAGCCACAGTCTGTTTTATGGTCATTTTCTCCATGATATGCTTTCCAGATCCATCATCATCCTGCTTGTCCTCCATCTGATGCCCCCTAATTTACTGTGACCCTTTTAGAATATAGTCTCCAGGGTGAAGCACATCTCTTTAAAATAGGATCTGACTTCTGCAGAATACAGTGGACTGTATATCACCTCCCCTGATCTACACTGGAGACTATGACTGTGCTCCAAATCTGGACCCATCTTCTAGAGAGACTTGCAAATTCCCGAAGGGATCCAACACTTTTCCTTGCTCTTCCCAATAGCTGGAAAATGAAAATGAAAACTAGAATTGTTCCAAGAAAACTAGATTTCTGTTCATGTTCTAATGAGAGCTAGTACATTGATAATATTTTCATATTTTTCTTATGAATGCAGGAAATCTAAGTGCAGAATTGCACTGATGCTGATGGCATCCTTCACATAACTCATGTGGACAAATATTCTGTTGCACCCCGCTGCACAGAGCTGTACATGTGCCGTGTGTATACAGACCTAAGATCAAGCAAAAGGCTTGCCCTAAAATAATATATATTTTCAAATTATGTTAAAGATAATAAAATTAGCTTAGCAGCATAGTTGTTTAATGTAAAAAAATCTGTAATATTTCATAATAACTTTGTAGGTTTAAAACAAATAGTTAAAGAAATACATGGGCTGGGCGCAGTGGCTCAAGCCTGTAATCCCAGCACTTTGGGAGGCCGAGACGGGTGGATCACGAGGTCAGGAGATCGAGACCATCCTGGCTAACCAGTGAAACCCCGTCTCTACTAAAAAAAATACAAAAAACTAGCCGGGCGAGGTGGTGAGCGCCTGTAGTCCCAGCTACTCGGGAGGCTGAGGCAGGAGAATGGCGCAAACCCAGGAGGCGGAGCTTGCAGTGAGCTGAGATCCGGCCACTGCACTCCAGCCTAGGTGACAGAGCGAGACTCCATCTCAAAAAAAAAAAAAAAAAAAAAAAAAAAAAAAAGAAAAAAAACATAAAGAAAATGGTAAACAGAAAACATCACATTAAAAGTTAGACCAAGAGCTTAGGGACCCTAACAATACAATGGAGTACAAAAGATCGTATATCTCACCTCCTGTCACTGTCACTGAGTTCAAGTAGTGAAACTCACAATATAAAGAAAGAACCTGGCGAGTTTTTTCCTCTAGACACAAATACACTGATTCAGCACATTTACTGAGCCCTCACGCTGAGCAAAGTGCTAGGGAAGTGAAAACTATGTCTCTGACCCTGTTTCTCTTGTTAACTTGTTTGATTTTTGTTTAAAATGTTCTTCTTTGAAAAGCAATGCATGTTCATTTTTTTAGACATAAAGTATAAATAAGCCAAAAGCACGTAATTTTAAAACTAAGCATTCCACCACCCAGACATGACCACTGTTGTACACCCCAGAATAACCACTGTCTGTGTATGGCTTTCATAGGTTATTTGTTTACAAAAATGAGATCATTCATGTCCCTTTCCCCTTGACCTTCAGGAATGTCATAGTCTAAACTTACGACTCTGCAAATCTGATCTGAGGTTATTTTTAGGCACCCACATATTAATATCCTAATCTATTCATGTTTACCCTCGTCTTTTTCTTGTACATCTACATATTGCTTTTATTTAAGTGTCTCACATTAGCTACTTCAAATTCATTACTGGAGAAGACAGATACAAATTATTCAGTGAACTACAAATAGCAATCTTTTATTTTTCTTTTTCTTTTTATTATTGTCATTATTGCTCTCTGTCTCTGTGTGAGGCACTGTGCTGAAGATTTTGCATAATTATCTTATGTCATCATCTTCACAGTCACCCTGTGAGGCAAGTGTCATCCTCCTTTTATTTTTATTTATTTATCTATTTATTTATTTATTTATTTATTTATTTATTTATTTATTTATTTTTGAGGTGGAGTCTCATGCTGTCACCCAGGCTGCAGTGCAGTGGCACAGTCTCAGCTCACTGCAACCTCCATCTCCCAGATTCAAGTGATTCTCCTGCCTCAGCCTCCCATGTAGCTGGAATTACAGGCACCCACCACCACGCCTGGCTAATTTTTGTATTTTTAATGGAGACAGGGTTTTGCCATGTTGGCCAGGCTGGTTTTGAACTCCTGACCTCAAGTGATCCACCTGCCTCAGCCTCCCGAAGTGCCGGAATTACAGGCGTGAGCCACCACGCCCGGCCATGTCATCCCCATTTTAACAGAGAGGGCTCTGTACAGAGCATGCCATGAAGCCAGAGAGTAGTAACAGTTCCATGATTCAAACCCAGCTTTGCCCGGTCTTTAAGTCGTTGACTAGAAAGCTTCCCATTTTCTTCCACTTCTTCTTTCTTCCAGGTATAATTTCCGTGGGTTTCGCTGGTTACAGGCTATGATATTTGCCATAGAGGAGATAAACAGCAGCCCAGCCCTTCTTCCCAACTTGACGCTGGGATACAGGATATTTGACACTTGCAACACCGTTTCTAAGGCCTTGGAAGCCACCCTGAGTTTTGTTGCTCAAAACAAAATTGATTCTTTGAACCTTGATGAGTTCTGCAACTGCTCAGAGCACATTCCCTCTACGATTGCTGTGGTGGGAGCAACTGGCTCAGGCGTCTCCACGGCAGTGGCAAATCTGCTGGGGCTCTTCTACATTCCCCAGGTACTCACGCCTTCTCAGATGGGGCACTGGGAGCAGGATCAGAAGAAGCAGGCTTGGGGGTGCCATGCCCAATATCCATACAGTTTGCTATTTTCTTATCTCTGGCACAAAAGACCTATGATTTAGTTGATATGCTGTATCATGACCATTTGGGATTTCTGAAACTCCAGGGTCCACAGTGTCAATGATTCCTTCACTACTCTTCCAAAATTCTTTTAAATGTATCTTGCATAAAACTGTGTCTTTTTTAAAAAAGAGGCATTCAATTATTTATTTCCCACTCTATTCCTTTAGTAAATGCTTTTTTTCCTTCTGCTTTTACTAAAAGGAATCAGAGCATATGAGGTAAATCCCACCTCTCAAATTCAAAATATCTGTCCCTAATTCCATTTCCTGAAAAGTCTCTGCTTCTCTACTGTCTGGTTGAAACTTTAGCTCAGAGGGAAGCAGAGCATATTTTCTCACAATACAGGAACTTAATCATTGTGTTGCATATTCCAGAAATGGAGAAAATTCTATTTCATTCAACAAATATTTATTCAGTATATATATATATAAGCAGTCTCCACTTAGCAGGAACTCAGCCTAGGTGGAGAGATGGTTGCATTTTCATATACTAACAGTTTATTGAAGCAAGTGCTTTAATAAACATTCAACGGTATATTTTTTCACCAAAAAAAGATAACGAATGTGAAATGCCATTTTATAACCTGGCATTTTCCTTCTTAACACTATAGAGCAAAGCATTTTTCAGTTTAATATTTATGAATCTATGACATCATTTTATAATAGTGAAAAAATGGAAACAACCTAAATGTCTGTGGGTGGGAGAATTAGCTCAATTGTGATGCATCCTTACATTAAGTTTGAAATTAAATTACAAACTACACCTTAAATTTATTTTTTTGAATGCTTAATATTTAAAATTTGTAAGAGTACCTTTGATAAATTTACATTTCTATGTTGGGAGGGCTCCATGGTTTTTTTTGTTTTTTGGTTTTTTTTTGGTGATTGCCATTATCTCTTTATATACATGAGACAAGAGATAGTTTTGTCATTATTTACGGAATCCTTACTTCAGGGAATTAAAGGTATTTCCCATGGGGAAGCCCTGGCTTTGTAACTTTTGTGCCAAAGTGATCTGACAAAGCCTGTATCAGTAAACGTGCTGCGTATATTCAAATTTAGATACACAGTTAAAGTAAGTTATTGTTACCCCATAGCCAACAGGCTAAGATAAAGAAAGAACATGAAAGGTGGCAGGGGGCGGGGGGATGTTAATTCTTTGTGGTTTGGATGAAAGATAAGGTTAAGTTGAATTTGAATTATAAAAGTGCTTTGATTATCAATCAAACCAACATAAGTCTATCTACAGTAGGGGTTCTCTGCCATGTCTGCCATGGCTACCTATTGGAATTACTTAGGGAGCTTTAAAGATACTGATGCCTAAGTCCCAGTCCCCAAAGAACAAGCTTTAATTGAGCTGAGATGCAGCCTGGGTGTCAGGAGGTTTTAACACTCCAGAAGTGATTCTAATGTGCAGCTGGGCTGGGAGCCACTGCCCTGCCGGGTGGGGTCATGAACCCAGGGGTATTTTGTATGCCAGCCACGCCACCAAGTGGATGGAACAGGCAGACCAGCTAGACAAATTGCGGTTGGAACAGTTTTCTGAATCATTCATGAAATTCTCCCCTCTTACAATAAAAAAAAGTTTTGTGTGTTTCTGAGGGTTTTTTTGGGGGGTTGGGACACAAAATGGTATTTACCCCACTTTAGAGTTGCTTTTAAAAACCTGGGAAACATTATAAATATATCCCTTAAGAGAACATATCCATGAAGAATATTACTGTTTTTAATTTTTTTATTCCATTAAAGCCCTTTTGACCTGTTTTTCAAAAACTCAAGAAGCAAGCAATAATGGATGGATTTTTTTAAACGGTAGGTTTTGTGTTTGCAAAAATCTGATTCAGAGGCCTATCGTTTGGGTCTGCTAACAGAATTCTCTGAAAACAGTAACATCTAAACAAATTATTTAATTTAACCACCTGCCTCATGAAGTTCTGTTGTATTTTGAGAATACCTTATTCTGATAAAGGAAAAAATAATCAATTTTATACTATACCTTCTAAAATAAAAGCACTTGTCAGAAAACAATCATACTTGCTTTTTAGTCAAGTTGGCCTCATTTTTTCACAGACCAACACCTTTTATGTTTCTAATGTAGAAACTATCCATTGATAAGAAGAAACGCTTTGGAAAATTTTATTTAAAAATATTGGACATGGAAAATTAATTGTTTTAATTGGTGAGAGATATTAAAAAGGCATTCACCCAAATACCTTTGACTTGTTTTCTTAAGAAGTTCAAAATCTCTCTGGAAAAACTAGAGAACACAAGGTATTAAGCTACTTCATTTCCTAGAAGAAATTCTATTTGTGTTAAAATGTTTCGTTCTTCAGAAAAAATGTTCCCATAACTTGGAACTTCCTAAGTGGTGAGCCTTGATGACACAGAGTGCTGCAAATGAGCTGAAGCCAGCCTCATCAAAGATGTGGATCCCCTCAAGCTTTGGGGTGGCCAGGTGGGGCCTGAGTGGTCAGAGCACTCCCACCAGGGTTGATCAGCTTCTTCCATTTGCTCCTTGTGTTGCCATAATGTGAAAAGAAGTGGGAAAGCTCTGCATTAACTAATGCTTTACATGGTATTTGGCTACTTCTTCAAGCAACGATCTCTTAACGTCAAGGGCAAGACTTTCTTCCCCTGGTAGTCCACACCCTTGCTCAGATGCAGAAGTGGCTATGTCTTAGAGAGTGCAAACATGTCAAGACAGCTTCTCCAGGGTTCCTGTTTAGCCTCTAAGATTTTCAAGACCCACATCAAAAGCCTGTCAAGCAGGCTCGGCCATCACCTATAAATGAATAAAGGAAAGGGCTCTGGAAGGTGCTTCCCAATGGAAGATTCTTCACAATGCTACCTTCAAAAGTGGGTCTGGTCATAAAATCAATCCAACAATAGAGGGATGGAGAGGAAGGGAAGTTTTTCTGATGATATTTAATTACACACGTCATTGTTATTGTGATGCAGGGGGATTGAGCCTAATGGTCTAATTGAGCCTAAAAGAAACAGTTCTCAGAAATGACTGCAATTAAGGTTACTTTTTTCTAAAGTACTGGGGTGCAGGGAGGAGAGGGAGGAGGAGGAATAACCAGAGGATGGGAAGAGAGAAATTAGGTAGAATAAGAAAAGGGAATTCCCGGGGACTCCTCTGAAGAGCCTTAAGTTTATAATCCATGGGGAACCTGATTCCTTCCAGAGGCAGATTATGGACAAAGTGTTTATTGCAGTAAAGGGAAGTTAAACTGTTCAGATCAGAAGCTGAGCGCAACAGGCCAAAGTTGTGTACGTGGATATACTATAACCAATGAGGCAGCACAGAGGAGGTTAGAGGAAACATGAAATGGTGCATAAAGACTCTTCTTGAAAGGCTAAGCACATCCCACTATTGTTGGGTTGATTTTATGGCCAGACCCAGTTTTGAAGGTAGCATTGTGAAGAACCATCCATTGGGAATTGGGATGCTCCCTCATAGACTGAAAGGTGCTTAAGTGCTCACGCTGGAGTGGAACAGATGCTGCTTTTCCTTATGCTTTCTTTCATCCTGTACACAGTGAACAGCATAGTTGATAAATGAGACCAAGGCATGCTCAGAAAGCCACCTCCACAACAGCCTGGAGGCTCACTCAGCACCTCCTCACTCACTCACTCACTCATTCACCATGTTCTTGGTTCTCTCCAGGTCAGTTACGCCTCCTCCAGCAGACTCCTTAGCAACAAGAATCAATTCAAGTCCTTCCTCCGAACCATCCCCAATGATGAGCACCAGGCCACTGCCATGGCAGACATCATTGAGTATTTCCGCTGGAACTGGGTGGGCACAATTGCAGCTGATGATGACTATGGGCGGCCAGGGATTGAGAAGTTCCGAGAGGAAGCTGAGGAAAGGGACATCTGCATTGACTTCAGTGAACTCATCTCCCAGTACTCTGATGAGGAAGAGATCCAGCATGTGGTGGAGGTGATTCAAAATTCCACGGCCAAAGTAATCGTGGTTTTCTCCAGTGGCCCAGACCTTGAGCCCCTCATCAAGGAGATTGTCCGGCGCAATATCACAGGCAAGATCTGGCTGGCCAGTGAGGCCTGGGCCAGCTCCTCCCTGATCGCCATGCCCGAGTACTTCCACGTGGTTGGAGGCACCATTGGATTTGCTCTGAAGGCTGGGCAGATCCCAGGCTTTCGGGAATTCCTGAAGAAGGTCCATCCCAGGAAGTCTGTCCACAATGGTTTTGCCAAGGAGTTTTGGGAAGAAACGTTTAACTGCCACCTCCAAGAAGGTGCCAAAGGACCTTTACCTGTGGACACCTTTCTGAGAGGTCACGAAGAAAGTGGAGGCAGGTTTAGCAACAGTTCGACAGCCTTCCGACCCCTCTGTACAGGGGATGAGAACATCAGCAGTGTTGAGACTCCTTACATAGATTACACGCATTTACGGATATCCTACAATGTGTACTTAGCAGTCTACTCCATTGCCCATGCCTTGCAAGATATATATACCTGCTTACCTGGGAGAGGGCTCTTCACCAACGGCTCCTGTGCAGACATCAAGAAAGTTGAGGCGTGGCAGGTGCGTCCTTCACTTATATAGCAATTTGCTGTATAATAAAGCAGAGTTGGGCTTCTACTCCAGGCAAGAAAAATAGTGGTTACTTGAAAAGGGCAATATTTAAATGAGGCCACTAAATGGAGTGTTGGATTCAAAGTACTTTTTTTAAATCTTGAGCAACTGATTTGAGCAAAATTGATAGTAATTTGATTATCTATTTAAAGCCTTGAGTCAACTGTTCTTTAGTCCAGTGGTTCAGAATAACTAAAGTATGGTCCCCAAAAGTTTTCAAATATCCCAGAACAGATTTAGTAATGAGTGGGGTATTTTTCTAATGTCTAAATTATCAATATTGTAGCCTTGTGAGTAAAGTATCTTTTGAGTACCTATTACGTTCCATATACTAAGTGGCATAAAGCTAGTATTATTGTGTTCAGTCACCACTTTTGCCATTACATTACGACAGCCTATACCAAGCCACCCAGCAGATCAGCTAAGTGCGACTTAGGACAAAAGCAAATCAAAGGCACAGAAAACAAAAACTCTTTGTAAAAAGATTTGATATTGAATGTTTCAAAAAGAAGTACTGAAGTCGTTATCGTAGGAAAAATCAGAACTTCAGAGGAGTTCCCACACTTGTTTAGCCTTGTTTTGTATTTTTTAATTACACACAGGACAGACATCATAATCTTTTTCATTTCAAGAGCTTATATCCTAAATAGCTGTTTGGGTCTTGCATATATGCCTTATTTTTTCAATCAGACCATGTTTTACACTCCTTTTGTATTTTCCTTAGTTCCAAACTGACCTATCAGAGAGACTGCATGACAGTGGAGAGGGCGGGGACTCCTGAATTTGAATGGAATGTCCCAGCCTCCAGTGCCCCCATTTCCTAGCTGTGTGATCTTAGGCAAACCACGGCTGTAAGTCACAGTGTCTCCATCTGTGACACAGACTTAATGTCTAGCTTACTTTCCACTCAAGATTCTTTTGACTTAGGTTCGTGACATTAAATGACATGATATATGTAAAAGCAATTTGTAAACTTTCAAACTCTAAACAGATGTATGATTATTATAGTAGAATTTCAGTACACCTCTAATTTATCCATCATTTAGATAAAAATGATAACTAGAACAGCTTTGTATACAGAACCCAACCACCACAAACCCTTTGGGAAGGATACCAAGAAGCAAAAAGCATACAACTTGTATCAGTCACTGTAGAGATTCTCATGAAAGACAAGGAGTGACTGTCTAAGTTGGTCAAATGAGTCAGAATCTACAAGTTCTCAGCCCTTCTTTTATGGGAACCTCTCACCCAACCATCACTGTTGGCTAAAATTTCTAACTTCTGTGGGGTACTCAGAGCTTCCTTCTTCACATGGAACCCCTACCCTGTCAAGATAGAGGTGCTGTAATAAAGGTCAGAAACTCTAAAGTCTTCAGGAGTGATGATGCTAAGTTGTAGGGTTTTAAGTAGGAGGAGTAAGGGGACAATCTTTTAGGTGGTTGGTACTATCGTCTTTTCTTTCTTACCTTTCATGTCCAGTGCAAGGAGGACCCCAACTCGAAAAAACTTCAAGACAAGGGTAGGGTTGAAGGAAAAACAGGTTTCAAGGGGGAAACTTGTCAGTTCTACCCTTCAATGGCTCCTCTTCCAGATAAGGAAATACAATTCAGATGGTCAAGACCAGAGCTTGGACCTGTGAGAGAGAAAAAAAGCCATGACAGGCAACAGTCACAACTGGGACTTTTAGTTGTGTAATAGAAAGCCCTAACCAAATTGGCATAAACAAAAAAAGAGGAAATGTAGTGGGTCATGTTACTAAAAATCTCAGAAGTGTTCCAGGTACAGCTAGGTATTTTCATCTCATCTTTCTGTTCTTCATTCCCCAGGGTTAGCAATTTTCAGCCTCTGTAGCAGCTTGAAGCTAGGATCTCCTTACTTCCCAAGATATCCTGTAAAAGTTCCAGAAACCACATTTATTGACCATTCCTAGGTAATGGCTCCATCCCTAATGCTAGCAGTCCTCCAGACTACATAGACTTAGAGTAAGGGGGGAGTGAATCCCCAGTGAGAAGTTAGGATGCCATTATCAAAAGGAAGAAGAAATAGAAGCAAAGCAGCCAACATTCAAAATGTCCGCTACACAGACACTTCACCCAACCATGGCCCAGGTAAAGATATGTTCTCCTGACTCTTACATGGTCTGGCAAAATCCCCCCAGGAGAGAGCACAGATGGGAAAATGGGATCAGAACTCTAGGGAGGAATAACATGGGATATTGGCCAAAATGTCCTGAGTGCTTGGTGTGGATCTCCTTTGAGCCTCAGGAACCTAGGTTGTTGGGCGGGCATTCCAGAATTTGAGATATTGGCCAGGGGATGAACTAGCAATTATTAATTCTCATTATTAAGACCTATATCTTCATCAGGAAATCAACTGGCAATTATTCATTCTCAATATTAAGGCCTATATGGAAATTTATCACCTATAATCTAATCCAAGTCTCCAGCTAGAACTCCATGTCTGGCTTCTCTCAGTTCTTCCCCTGTAAGCCAACCTGCGTGACACCTCCTCACAAATCACTCATTAGTTTTTGGCACAGCATCTTTGCATAGGCCATAGCCCACACCAGAAGGGCCATCAATTTTTATCTCTGCTGTCATTTTCCACCATGAACATTTAAATTGTTTTCCAAATCTACTTTCCCCTGGAAGTCTTTTCAAATCATATTCCCACAACACACTTTCTGATCATTCTTGCTTCCTCATTTTTGATGTTTATATACCCAGCTTAAGCTTCCACATCTCTTCAGTTGACTGAAGTAGACACTTATTAGTTAAAATTCTGGTTATAAGGGTCAATCACAATTTTTTTTCCTTTCTGTCTCCTCAAAAAATATAATATCAATCAACTCATATGCCTCCAAAGTAGCACTAGTAGGTGATTTATGAGCATACAACCCACACTTGCCTTGTGACCTCTTCTTGGAGACCCTCAAGCCCTCCGCACATCCCTTCTCAGCTCTCTCTTCACTACTCCTTTGCTGTACTCTAAGCTTCATAAGATCAGGAACCATGCCTGTATTGTTCATCTGTATGTGCAGAATGCCTGATGCTGGAATATTCATAGAATGAATGAAGGAGTGAATAGCAGTCTAGTTGATTTGACCTGTCAGCACTACCTAGAGGCCTTTGAAAGGAACTGTTTGAGCCAACAACCCGTTCTTGAATCAATCACTGTGGCCAAGGTATTCTAGGCTCTGTTTGGACAAGCTTTGGTCACATCCCCACCATCAAGTTTGAATGGAACATCATGTAAGTATGAAATCACCTTCTTTCTTCTCTCAGGATGATCGTGCACAAGGTGTGCTTCATACTCTCCTGCACCTCACACCAATACTCACTAGTCAAAAAACAGGCATGCAGCCATGGTGAGGATGGAAGTCAGATGGAGCTGATCTTTCTAGGAACTGCTGGTACTGCTGGAAGTTGGGGAATGGGGGATAAATTGTGGGGACAGCCAGAGAAGATGGAAGGGAGATAAAAAAACATGACTGGGATTAGAGAAGGGAATTGGGCCTGCATCTTCCCCCATGCTCTTACCACAGGAATTGGGCAAGAAGCATCAAGTTCATTATCTGTGTGACCTGGCCCTCATTATCTGTGTAAGAGCTGGAAGTCCTAGATCGGCGGGGGGTTTCTAATCTCTAGCGTTCAGCTTAATTCAATTGACGCAACTAAGCATGTGTGCCAAGAGGTGATTCCCATTTATGCTGATAATGAGCAACCATTTGACTTTAAAATCTTTTAGGGGAAATACCCTAAAATACCACAAGATGGGAATATTATGGCATAAAAAATATGTTAGCTTCGAAGTGCATGCGTGTACTGTATTTGCCCCTCTGTGAGATTTATGTGTCTTTCTTGGTGGTGTTTTCTTTGTGAACCTGTAAGTCTCTTTGTGTCTGTATGCTATGTTCTATGTTCAGATCTTTTTCTTTGGTTGTTTGCTTTTTTGAGGCAGAGTCTTGCTCTGTCGCCCAGGCTGGAGTGAAGTGGCAAGATCTCGGCTCACTGCAACCTCCATCTCCCAGGTTCAAGCAGTTCTCCTATGTTCAGATCTTTCTACTAGCTTTTTTAATTTCTCTTCCCCTTCATCTATTCTTTTCCCTCATATTACTCCCCAAATAAAATAAATAATTTGGAAACATATTATATTGGATAATAATCTCAAGTAAAATTTTATATTTCATTTTAAAAGGAACTGTCAGTTCCTTTTTAAAACATTTTTAAAAGCAAAAGAGGCCAGGCGCGGTGGCTCACACCTACAGTCTCAACACTTTGGGAGGCCAAGGTGGTTGGATCACAAGGTCAGGAGTTCAAGACCAGCCTGGGTAACATGGTGAAACCCCATCTCTACTAAAACAACAAAAAATTAGCTGAGTGTGGTGGCATGCACCTGTAGTCCCAGCTGCTTGGGAAGCTGAAGCAGGAGAATCACTTGAACCTAGGAGGCAGAGGTTGCAGTGAGCCAAGATCACACCACTGCACTCCAGCCTGAGCAACAGAGCAAGACTCCGTCTCAAAATAAATATATAAATAAATAAATTAAATAAATAAATAAATAAATAAGAAAAAGAGTGTTCTCTCTCGGGCAGATATCTAAATTGTCTTTTAACTTATGTTGCTTTTTTGTGGATCAATGATTATCAATTTAAAGATTCCCTGTCATTGCTCTTAAGAGTGAAATGGTTTTCATCTCCATCTTCCCTGTTATGTGAATTAAAGGCAAGATACTATGCAGAAAATAAAATGCCCAAATGCAAAAATTGCAAGTCAACCTGCCAAAAGAAATATTAAAGATGTTTAAAGAGGTGACTTAGAGATATGACTTGGTAAGCATAATAATTGATTGATTATAAGTGGATAACATACAAATTTTGAGTAGAAAATATTCCACACTTATGTGATTTTATTTATATACCTGCTGTGAGGACATACTACAGTACAATTCAGGTTAGGATTTGAAGTAAGGAAAAAAAAATCATTGGAGATTAGTCTTGAAGAGTAGATAGGATTTGTGGATATAGAGAAGGATCTACTGTACTCCTTGGAGGAAGAGTCACAAAATGTCCTGCTAAGCAAAAGAATACAGACTTAAAAAAATAGTACATAGTGTATGATTTCATTTATGCGACATTCTGTCTCTACTGACAGAAAGAAAGCAGATCGTTGGTGGCCTAAGGCTGCTAGTGGGTAGAGGCTGACTTTAAGGGACACCACAGAACCTTTTGGGATGGTGGCAGTGGTAGTTACCAAGCATATACATTTGCCCAAACTCAGAACTATACACTTAAAATGAGTGTATATAAATTATACCTCAAAAAAGTTGATGAAAAAAATAATGGAAAGTCCCCAGATAGGGAAATCCTGGCTATGCATGGAGATCAGGATGTCATTCAGGTTAGACCATTTTCCCAATTATGGCCCCTCATGTCGCCATAAGCGTTACACATCTCTACCATTTCATTTTTAAAATATGTCCATTTTCTCAACCTACATTTGTACCAGTTAACCTGTTGTAACTAGAGATAGACAACTTAATAGATGTCTAATTTCACTCCTGCATGTGAGTAGGTAGTATAGTGTAATGGTTAACTGTTTGGAATCTCAAGCCAGACTGAGTTGGTTTAAATTTTAATGGCCACCTAATTGCTTTATGACCTCAGGCAGCCACTTAGTGTCCTTGTGCCTCACTTTTCTCTCTCACCTGAGAAATAGAGATCATGAAACTTATAAGTTTATTATGAGGATAATGTTAGTTAATATGCACAGAGTGCTTAGGGTAGTGCCTATATACTATGTTCAGTAAATATTCTTGAGTATTATTCTTTCATAGGTGAGGAAGGTAAGACCCAGAGAAGTCGGAATGATTTTCCTAAAGTAATATATCTAGCTAGTAAGAAAGCCACATCTGCTCCAGGTGATCTGTTCCCCAAAGAGGCCACAGGAGTTGCTAAAAGAACCAGTTTTGCCTTCTGAGCACCACATGCCTTCTAGCTCCTGAGAGGCTGCCAGATCAGCCAGTGGTCTCCAAGTGAAGACACTGGTCCACTACCTTGAACCCTGGGTGTTCACCAATTGTCCTGACACCTCGGTCCTTGCACAAAGAGAAAGTATAGTGTGCAAATAATTGAGAGTGGATACAACCAATCAGGTTGGAGTCTATTAAACATCTCTTTGTCCATCTTGAATATTATTGCATTTCTTCTTTCTAAAACAGTGCCTGCTTGGCCAGTAGTGGTTCCTCAATAAATACTTGTTGAATAAACAAATGAATAAAGAAAGAAAATGGGACAAAAATAACTCCTGAGAGGACAGTGACACAGTACCTAGATATAGGCATAGATAAGGGAGATCAGTGATCTCAGAGAAGTGGTCAGAAAACTCTTACACAACAAACCACAGTAATGCTGACTTCATAAACTGGGGCTGAAACTTAGCTCTGCATTATCAACAAAGTAAATTACATGAAAGAAAACATGTTTTGGTAAGGATTTTAAGACTATAAACAGGGTTTTTGAGGTACAAAGATCCAGAAACCATTAAATTTTAAATTATTCTTATATTTTTAACTGATGTAGGCCCCCTAAGAATCTTTATCAGGAACAATTTATTAGCCTAATTTGTACTAATA